GATAAGAGCAGCTTCCTTTGAGGCATCTGCCCCTCCGGGTCGTTCCTGTGGAACTGCTAACCCCAGGGCCCTGCTTCAACCACGGCAGGGGACACACAACGCAGGCTGGCACCCCAGTCCCCTTAAACATGATCACTGGCCCAGGTTTGGGCCCCTGACTAAAGGGAGACCAATGAGAGTCCTTCCCTGGAATTTCATATATGGAGGTTGGGAGGGAAAAAACCCTCTTTCCTCTGGGGTCCTCCAGATAGGAGGTGCTCAGGCCAGCCTCCTGCTCTTCATAGTAGAAACCTGGGGACGGATGAGGAGAGAGTCAAGAGATGGGCGACTGTGTGGGGGGTGGCTCGTAGGAAGAGAACAAGAGAGAGGGGTTTCCTGTCATACGAGCAAATAAATTCCTTTTGCTTGAGCTACTCTGAGGTGGGTTTCTGTCACTTGCAGCCAGAGGAGCCATAGACAGTCCTTGCCTCAGCCACAGGCTTAGGTCTCCAGGGTGCACAGGAACACCTTTGCCTGGCCCTTAAGACTCCTGGCTGTCCCTCCTGCCCCCCAGGCTTTCTCAGATCCCACGCAGAGGCTGTGGCCACACTTTCTCCCTCTTCTCAAGCTCCTAAACCCACCTCTGCTTCCTCAACTGCCACCTGTTAGCTAGGAAAAGTGAATTCCTCTACTCTCCCCCTCTCTGCCCAAGTTTCCCCCATACCTGCCTCTCCCTTCTGTCTTCCCTCTCCTCGGCTCACAGGAGGAAGTGTCCCTCTGCTGGCCCTTGCTCAAGCTGACCAAGAGAGCTGGAAATGGAGGGCCAACGCCAGTGGGTCCCAAACCTGCCTGGACATCAGAATCATCTGAGAAACTGGAAAAATACAATCTCCCAGGTTCCTTCAGCTTCTCTGCAGGCAGGATCTGGAATTATGATTGTAAAACATCTTCACTGGTTATGGCAATGATACTTTCTTGGTTGTTGGGTTGGTCTTGGCTCAGTTAGGATTTAGCCAGAGAAGGGGATCTCAGGTCCCAGAAACAGGATGTTGTCCATTATGTTGCTCGTATGGGGACCCTGCAAGGAGCCCCTTTTAACTTCCTCCCGTCTTCTCCAAACCCCTTGCAATCAGGGCTTCTCCCTGGTCCAGTCTTAACCTGGGCAAGGGAACACCCCAGACTCCAAACCAGACCACCCACGCTTCGGAAACCCTGTACCCTCTGCCCTCCTGAACTTCCCCTCCCTTCCCCGTTCCCGCCGCCTCTCTGCTCTCTCCTTCTTGGCCTCCTTCTTTTCCTCTCACCTATTAAAGGGAGGGCCCACCCCCAGGAAATGTCTTCCCCTGGAACTGGGGGGGCAGAGTCTGCCTGTAGGGGCTCCTCCACTGCCAGTTTGCACAGCTGCTCCCTTGACTGGGCAGCCCCTCCCAGGGTGCCCGACAGGGCAGGTCAGGTTCTCTGCCGTGGATATGGTGGCCTCCGAGGCCCAGAGGTAGGTGAGGACAGTAGGCTCACCCCATACCTCCTCGCCAGCTGGCATGTTACCATTGAAATCAATGCTACCCCACTTACAGCATCTCTTCCAAAGAAGCACAAAAAAAGACCTCCCACCACTGCCCAGGTGCCCCGGGGTGCCCCATTCTCCATCCTTCGCAGGAAAGCTCTCTCTGGGTCAATTCAAGGGCATGTTGACCAAGGACTGGCCAACCTTCCAGTCAGATCATTGCGTGGGGACGCCCAGGGCCGATTAGAGGCAGGTATGGACCCAGGGCTCCGCTCTGCTGGGGTGCGGGCCTCCTTTAGGCACCGGCAGAGACACCTGTGTGGTATTTCTTGCCAAGCACATATCTTCAGCGACACTCTTTTCACTAAAGAGCAATGACTTCTGACCCTCCAGCGCTAATTAACAGACCGTCTGGTGCAGGTATAGACGGCCACACTTGAAGTGCTGGCCATGGCTGCTCCTGGAGCATAGACTTCAGCAGGGTCTGGATGCCAACTGATTCTGGAGGGTTGATGGGGGCTGATGTAAATGCCAAGTGGGAATGGAGACGGGGAGGAGGCAGGGAGAGGGAGAGAAGGGGAGGACGTTCACAGTGTTAAGGGGAAGGGGAGAGAGGAGAGATATGGGGAAAGGGAGAGGGGAGGAAGGGAGCTTCCTGGGGTTCTCCCAGTCCGGGCTCACTGAAAACCCCCTCTTCCAGGGCAGAGCGTCAACCTGAGGGGAGCAGAGACTGACCCTGTGACAGGGACACCTGACCCCCTCCACCACTGCTTGGGACTCCAGCCTCTACTCAACCAGCTCCTCCCATTCCCCAGCCTCCCTCCAGGGCTGCGGACAGACACCTCCACCCCCCACAGGGTCTTGGGGTCTGCAGCTTCCATCTGCTTTCCGGGCAGGGGGCAGATTCCACCTGCAGGCGGACCTGCCTCTCCTCTGGGCCCGCGCTCAACCACCCCATCTGTGGCTTGAGACAAGCCTCAGGAATCTGCCGGGGCTCTGCCCGCAGGGGCCTAGAGAGGTGGAGCGGGCCAGCCTGGGTGAGCCCGAGTGCTTCCTGACAGGGACGGGCCAAGGGAGCCTGTGAGGCTGATAGTGAAAGCTGACCCGGGCCTGGCCCAGCTCCCACACCCCCCCACCCCACCCCACCCCACTGTCAGGGACTGAGTATCTGTCATCCATGTCCCCAGTCTGAGTTCTACCTGGGCACAGAGCAAATGAATCCTTGATGACAAACTGTTGCTCTCGGTGGACCAGATTCTACCACAAACACTCTGTTGGCCTTGGGCGGCTCCCCCATTACCACCTCACTGAGCTCTCTCTAAAGCCTTGTGGGTTGGGTCAAATATTAATAATAATGATACTGTAACAGCAGCCAGCCTATCACAATGCCACCACGTAGGAGACACTGATCTGCATGTTTCTCATGCCTCATGGCCCATAACCCCATGCTGGCAGGAAATTGAGTTCTCAGGGGGATAATCCACCTGCCCCTAGTAACAGCCAGGAAGTGCAGGGCCCTTACCCAACCCCATCCCTATAGTCCCCAAACCTGGGCTCAAAACCCCTTCCCAGGGAGAAGCTGTGTACTCCCTCACCAGGCACCTGAAGAGGCGCACAGATTCCGGGTGAGAGGTCAGTGCTGAGGCCGAGCGGCCTGTTCTCAGCCAGGCAGATGCTGGCCCTCCCCCAGGGCCACATTTGCAGGGCAAAAGCAGAAGAACCCAGAAGCCTGCGCAATGGAGTGAAGAGCCTGGTGTGCTGGGGGACGGGTGGCCAGTGGAGCTGTGGGTGGCCCTCGGTGGCAGGCAGCCAGGCCAAGGGGCCTTTAGGGCTGTAGGTCAGACCTTCCTCCTGCTCTGGTCCTTGGGAAGGGCCATCACACAGAGCACTGGCCCCAGGGTTCTCCTCTGGAACTCTTGCCTGAAGGCCCTCCACATTCCTTGATTGGAGCTTGCAACATATTTGCACCCTGGGTCTTTCCTCCCCCTCAAGGGGCTGTTGAGCCTTAAGGAAAGGGCTGAAAGGACTCCTCACCCCAGCCTCAGGGGCCTGGGGCCCAGCTTGGCAAGAACAGCCTCCTTAGTCCTCCTACCACCTGTCTTGGACAGCGCCTGGGGGCCTCCTGGCAGGAAAGCAGCTCCCTCTCCTTGCTGTCTCTGGGAGAAGGGCTCAGAGCCCACCTCCGGAGCCAGGCAGGCCTCCTGGGTTTGCTTATTAACTACAGGACCTGGCCCACTGGGCTTTCTCCTCTCCGCACCTCCATTTCCTCCTTTGTGACATGGGAATAATAGTATGTGCCTCTGGGATGAAGTGAGTCATTCGAGCACAGGGCCTAGAATCGTGCTTGGCATATTTGTAACCAATTGATGAATGTTACCTGTTATTTATTGGACCGTGAAATGTTTCCATTTCAATTCTAGGGGCATTCTGAGGTCCTACTGCACGCTCAGCGGTGGGGCCTCAACAGGGAACAAAACCAGAACAGACATCTGGGCGACAGCAGCGCCAGCAGAGGTGTTTACCTGTTAGAGGATTCTGGAAGTCATCTGGGTGGGAACACCCATCACCCCAGACCCCACTGGGCCAAGAATGCCCCTCTGTGTTTGAAGTCTACACTCATCCCTAAGAGTAGCTGGGTCTGGCACACACAAGCATATTAATAAAGGTTTGGCGACAAAAAAGGTTTTGAGTGAAATACTTATTGATGGATGAAAAGAAAGGAAGTTAGGCTGGGCAGACAGGCCTTCCCTTGGTGGGAGCTCTCAGGGGCAGGAGGGACCCCAGAGATGGGGGGGGCGGGGCCCAGGCGGGGGAGGCACAGAGAAAACTTCCAGAGCTGGGGCCCGACATAGGCTGCCCAGTCTCCTCCCGGCCTCCTCGGCTGTGGGTTTGGCTCTCCCAGCCCAGTCCCTCTTCCCCGCAGACCCGGCTCTAGGAAGCTGACCCGAGGGACCCCAACAGCTAGAGGGGGGGGGGGCGGGGGGGGGCCTGCCTGGGGAGGGGCAAAGGGGGGAGGGCAGAAGGAAGTGGAGGGGGAAAGGGAACCCGTCTGCCTCTGCTTCCCCCACCGAGGAAAAGTCTCATCGGGGTCCGAGGGAAATGGCGGGGCCTCGGGGCATCCGGGGAGGATGGAGGTGGGTGGTGTCCGGGAGCCATCCAGAAAGGACGGGCGACTCCAAGGGAACCTCCGCGGGGAAAACTGCGTCCCCGGGGGTGGGGGTGACCCTCGTGGGCTCCGAAGTCCCGGCTCGGCCACTCCGGCTCGGGCCAGGTGACCTTGGGCGGCTGCACGCGCTCGGGGACCTCGGGTTTCGCCTCCGAGCAATGGGCAACTCCCTCCCGGCCGCGGTGCGCAGGGCCGGGCGCGCGGCCGAGGGGATGGAGGGCCGGGGGCGCCGAAGGGGTTAACGCACCTGGGCCGCCGCCGCCCCTCCAGGCCCCTCCTCCGGTCTCCGGGAAAAGGAAAGTCACGGCGGGGGCGCGGCCCGACCTCCTCCCCCGCCCGCCCCCCGCCCGGGTCCCCGCCCTGGTCCCCGCCTGCCTGCCGCCGTCCGGAGCCGCGGCGCTCAGAGCTGCGACCCGCGCGCTCCGCTCCGCCGCCACCGGCCCGGGCCGCCATGTCTCCGTGGTGAGTGGGGGCCGGCTGGGCCGTTGCGCTGGGGGCCCTGGGCTAGGGGCGCGGGGACCTCGGGCTCCCCCTCCCTCGGAGGCCGGGGGGCGCACAGCGGGACGCCGGGCGGCTCTCGGGGATCAGAGGTGCTGCGCTGGGTGCCCGGGGGCTGGCCTCAGTTTCCCGCGGACAGACGGGCTCGCGCGGCGGGGCCGGAGATGCCCAGCGCTGCGCGGCGCCTGGACCGGCCGGTCGGCGGCCGGGGACCGCGGGGCCGGTGCGCTCAGCCCTCCGCGCGGGCCCCGAGGCACCCAGATCCCACTCCTGGACTCCGGGAGTTAGGGACTCAAGGTCTCTCCGGCAGCTGGGTCCCGTCCCCCATTCCGAGGGCCTCCCGCGTCCGAGGCGACCTCCGTCTACCCCCATCCCCCGACCGGCTCTCCCGCTTCCCCGGGAGCTCGGCCTCGGCCCGCCTGCCTCTCCCCTCTCCTCCCTTCCTCTGCTCCCCTGCGGAGCATTCGTCCTACAAATGGAGTGGGGCTGTGCAGGTGAACAGGGTCTGGGGCGCAGGGGCCTCGCCGCATCCCCCTCTGCTGGGGTGACGCTCCCCGGGCTAACGCCAGTGGGGCCTCCCAAACTGGGGTGTGCGAGCTTCACTGAAACACCCAGGGCAGGAGAAGCTGACCGAGCACTCTGCTCTCCCCGCTAGGCTCGGGTCTTGGGTCACACCCCCCACTCCGGCACCTGAGGAGTCCCAGTCTCCCAACCCCGTACACAGGAAGCTGTGGAACCCCATGGAAGAATGTCGCTGAATCGGGCTCAGCCTTTGATGGCCCTAGGTGCCTGGACCTTCAACCAGCCAGTCCTGAAGCCACCCCAGGCTGCTCGACGGCGTCCCGGTCTCTCCCATCCCCCTGCACCCGCCCATTGGTGGTTAGGGTCATTTCCCTGTTGGCCTGGCTCCGTAAGGCCACACTTTTCTGACCTGCCCTTTCTCTGGAGCCCTCAGCCCCTATGTGTCCTCAGGAGAGGCCAGGGCAGGTGGCCTGGTTCACCTTCAGATAGGGGTGCGGTGGGGGTTACCTGGAGAGTGGAGGTCTGAATATGTCCCCCTCCCAGGGCAGCAGAGCTGGAGAACTTCATCTCTCCTAGGGGACGTTAAGGGAGTGGGGCCCAGAGTAGGAGGTTAGGGGCCAGCGGACATGCCAGGAGATGCCCACTCCATTTTCAGGCCTCTGTCAGCTGTGAAGGCTGTTCTTTTTTTCAGGTCAGATGGACGAGGTGGAGGGGGGAAGGAAAGGCATTTGGAGGTCCCAAGTTAGAGCCTGGGCCCCCATGTCCCCCACACATCATTGCGCCCCCAGGCTGCAGAGCACACGCCGTCTCTACCCCTCCCAGTGGTTCACTGGGTTTGCACAGGCACGTGAAGGCAAGTGGGGTGCCTTGCAGGGGCGAGGCACAGGGCAGAGGTCTCTGCCAGAGGTCACTGCCTCCCCTGAGCGAAGGAATCCCGGCATCCTGACCGCATACCCCCGGCCCGCCAGGCACTTTAGATAGCGCTCCAGTGCCATGTTGTTACCCTCATTTCGGGGAAGAAGAAATCACGGTTTGGAGAGGTTAAAGGAGACCCACTCACAGTCACTCAGCTCGTCAGTGGCAGGGCCAGGATTTGAACCCCGGCAGCCGGACTCCACAGTGCCTGTGCTTCAGTTCTGTGCTGCATGGCTTCCCTGGTGCTGGAGGAGGGCCATCAGGGTGGGAGAGAAAGGGGGACCTTCCTCTGATGGCTCAGGGGGCCCAGGACTTGAGTCCGTGCCCAGGGTCCACTTGCCCATCTGGGATTGCAGGATAGGGGCTGCTGGGAGAGTCACAGGGCACTCATCCTTTGTCTGTACTGTCCTCTCCTCACCCCCCAGGAAGAGAACCGTCTACAAGACTGTGTGCCTTTCCCTGGCCTTGCTTGTGGCCATAACAGTATTCCAGCGCAGTCTGACCCCCAGCCAGTTTCTGCAAGAGTCCCCGCCACCCACCTTCGAGCCACAAAAGGCCCAGAAACCAAGCGGACACCTGGTGAACCCCAACAGCTTCTGGAAGAACCTGAAGGATGTGGTCACCCCCATGCCCACCGTCTCCCGGGGGCCCCAGGCCTGGGACGTGACCACCACTAACTGCTCAGCCAACGTCAACCTGACCCACCAGCCCTGGTTCCAGAGCCTGGAGCCACACTTCCGGCAGTTTCTGCTCTATCGGCACTGCCGGTACTTCCCCATGTTGCTGAACCATCCGGAGAAGTGCAGCGGCGACGTCTACTTGCTGGTGGTGGTGAAGTCGGTCATCACGCAGCACGACCGTCGCGAGGCCATCCGCCAGACCTGGGGCCGGGAGCAGGAGTCGGCGGGCAGGGGCCGCGGCGCCGTGCGCACGCTCTTCCTTCTGGGCACAGCGGCCAAGCAGGAGGAGCGGGTCCATTACCAACAGCTGCTGGCCTACGAGGACCGTCTCTACGGGGACATCCTGCAGTGGGACTTTCTGGACAGCTTCTTCAACTTGACCCTCAAGGAGATCCACTTCCTCAAGTGGTTTGACATTTACTGCCCCAACGTCCGCTTCATCTTCAAAGGTGACGATGACGTCTTCGTCAACCCCACGAATCTGCTCGAATTTCTGGCTTACTGGCGGCCACAGGAAGACCTCTTTGTGGGCGACGTCCTGCAGCACGCTCGGCCCATCCGCAGGAAAGATAACAAATACTACATCCCGGGCGTCCTGTACAGCAAGCCCAGCTACCCGCCCTATGCAGGCGGAGGTGGCTTCCTCATGGCCGGCAGCCTGGCCCACCGCCTGCACCACGCCTGTGACACCCTGGAGCTCTACCCCATCGACGACGTCTTCCTGGGCATGTGCCTGGAGGTGCTGGGCGTGCAGCCCACCGCCCACGAGGGCTTTAAGACTTTCGGCATCTCGCGGAACCGCAATAGCCGCATGAACAAGGAGCCCTGCTTCTTCCGCTCCATGCTCGTTGTGCACAAGCTGCTGCCCCCCGAGCTGCTGGCCATGTGGAGGCTGGTGCACGGCAACCTCACCTGCTCCCGCAAGCTCCAGGTGCTCTGACCCTGGCCTCTGGTCCCCTGCAGGGAGGTGGAGGGTTTGGGCCTTATGTGCTTCTGGGTGTGGTGGGGTGCAGGTAGCTGGAGGGGGCCCTCCCTCTGCGCACGCTTTCCAGAAAGTGGAGCTGAGGCCCAGGAATGTTTGGAACTGCCCGGACTGGAGAAGGTCATCTGGGGAGCGAGGCTGCTGGCCCCTGGCAGCCCTCCTAACCTGGGTCCGTTGCCTGGCTCCCTCTGACCTGGTGGGAGGTCCTGGTGGCCTCCGAAGGAACCCTGTGCTCAGGTACCTGGGCTCGGCCTGGCCCTGGATGGGTCTGTGGCTGCCCTCTTGAAGATTCTTCTCCCGTGAATTGCCTCAGTCTCCCCACAGGCCCAAGCGTGGCCCTTTCGAAAGAAGCTGAAGCCTGTGCAGGCTCACAGGTCCCCCATGGTCCACATTCCCCCACAGTCCACACCCCTGGGTCTCCTGGGGATGGAGCCGCAGAAGGCCCTCAGCATACCCCCAGACCTGCCTGGAGTCGGCTGCTCCGTCTGCTGCCAGGTGCCCTCGCTCCTGGCCGCGTCCTAGAATGCTCCCTCCAGGCCCCTGTCTGGAAGCAGGACCGGCCTCTCTGACTACCTCAGCCATCCTCAACCTCTGGATGGGCTGCAGCCCCAGCCCACCCCCGACGCAGGGCAGAGAGCAGCGCTCCAGCCCCCGCAGTCCCGGTGCTGCCCGACCAGCCCAAGCCCAGGGCCCTCTTGCAGCCCCACCAAGGCCTGGCTCCCTGGCCGGAAACCAGCCGGTTTGGCCCTGGAAGTGGACATTCCTCTCTTACTGTGAAGTTTTATTTATGAATAATTTGGAGGTGGAAGGCGCCAGGCCTCAGGAGATGGTGGTGTTCTTCCCTTCCCTTCCCTCATCCCAGTGAGACACCGCCTCCCTCGGCCCCTTTTACCACAACCCCCCACCCCCACCCCGGGCCCCCCATGCCCGTCACAGCCCCGCCCCCCTGCACGCCTCCTTCTCCAGGCCTGAGCAGACTAGCCTTTGCTCCTGCGAAGGGATGGAGTGACCCTCGAGGGCCACCCCACCCAGGTTCCGGGGTCCTCGGGGGTGGGTGCAGAAGGATGCCACCTGGTATCTCAGGGTGGAGTCACCTGGGTAAAGACTGAGGAATCACTTCTATTTTCTCAATAAAAGGGGACTGGTGTTTTTCTGGTGTGAAACTTCCTGTTGCCATTTCCATCAGAGGGTCGGTCTGGAACCAGGGTTGCCAGAGATTTCTGAAGACACAGCTTGTTCCTTGCTCTCGGCTAGTGGGTGTACAGGGGCCAGAGTCAAGAAAGATGCTCCTGGAGGGGGCAGTGACGTGGGGGTGTGAGAGAGACCTCGGAGCTAACAGGCCCCCCCCCCAAGTGTGGGCCAATGCATTCCTGTAGAGAGCAAGGCCAGAGTTGATGCCAAGGCTGAGGTTCTGGTGGGTGGGGTTCGCTGGGCCAGTCAACCTGGAAGCCTTGATAAAGTTGACAAGAAGCATTAAGATAGTGGCTCAGGGGGGTCCAGGGTTGGGGGTCGAGGGGACCACAATGTGCCCAGAACCTTGAACTGAGCTGCTTACCTCCAGGGGGTGGAGAATGGGGGGCAGCTACCCCCAGGAGAAGGATACGGGGCCACAGTGAGCAAGCCAGCAGCTCCCTGCCTAAGTCCAGCTCGGGGCATCGCATAGTAGATCAGCTGCCCCCAGAGAGTCATTCACTTATTAATGTCTGCACTCGGCCCCTCCTGCAGGTGTGAGATAGCAATGGCTGGGTCTGAATCTAACGTAGCATCTTAAGAGCATAGAAGGGAGGCACAAGAAGAAATGGACATCCAAGCCCTCAGAGAGGGGAAAAAGGGGACACTTAAAAAATTAATTAAGAATTTCAAGGGGCCGTGGTGTACCCACAACATGACTAACAAAAATGTACAACTGAAATCTCACAAGGTTGTAATCTATCATAACACTAATTAAAAAAAAAAAAAAAAAAAAAAGAATTTCAAGGGGCCGGCCTCGGGGCGCAGTGGTTAAGTTCACACGTTCTGCTTCTCAGCGGCCCGGGGTTTGCTGGTTCAGATCCTCGGTGCTGACATGGCACCGCTTGGCAAAAAGCCATGCTGTGGTAGGCGTCCCACATATAAAGTAGAGGAAGATGGGCATGGATGTGAGCTCAGGGCCAGTCTTCCTCAGCAAAAAGAGGAGGACTGGCAGTAGTTAGCTCAGGGCTAATCTTCCTCAAAAAATTAATTAATTGATTAAAATTAATTAATTAAAAATTAATTAATTAATTAATTAAAAAATAATAAAAAAGAGAATTTCAAGATTGCCACAGCAGTTAAACCAAGCACAGGGCCCTTCTGAGGCAGGGCCTCGTGACTGTGCAGGCCAACAGCCAGCCCTGTTTGTCACTCACCCTCAGAAGCCAGGGGCTGCAGAAAGCAGAGTAGGGCATTACAGCCTCTGTCCACTCAGAGCTCAGTCCAGCAAGGGCAAGAGCAGTGGAGGGACACTGAGGAGACTGGGAGATGGAAGGCCCAGGCCCAGGTGGGGGTCCAGAGGATCCAGGGGCAGCGCTGTGTTGAGCAGCCACCTGAAGGATGAACGGGCAGGCCAAGGGAAGGGCTTGTGCAAAGGGCCGGAGGGTGGGGAGGTGGGTGCATGCTGAAGCAGAGAGGCTGGGGCTGGGCTGGGCTGGGCTGGGAGGCAGGCAGCCTTCTGGGTTACAGGAGGATGTTCAGACATGATCCTGAGAGCAGAGGCGCAAGCAGCAAGGCACAGGGGCCTTGGATGTGCACCCCTACCTCTGGGCTCTGGCCGTCTCCAGCTGGGCCCCGTGGACCGGGAGCTCTATGTGGAGCTTCCTCTTTGCTCCCAACCTCCTTTCAGACCACAGGTGCCCAGGTCTGGGCTGGCCAAGTGGGCTGGGAGAGGAGTGGGGTACCAGCATTAGCACAGCAGAAAGAAGGGAAGAAGGGAGAGGGAGCCCACCTGAGGGGGGCCAGTGTAACAGGACCCCCAGCACAGGGTGGGGAGAGGGCATCAGCCTGGGCCTGACAGTGCACCTGCATCCTGAAGGAGGAGTGGGTATTTGCCCGTGGTGGAAAGAGGTGGGAGGGACTGTCCAGGCTGGGGACACACACAACAGCCCAGAAGTGCAAAAAAGCCGGGCCTCCAGAGAAGCAGCCAGCTGCCTTGTGTGGACAGTGACGGAAACAGGAGAGCTGGCGTGAGGGTGTGCTGGTGAGAAAGGCACGCCTTGCTAAGACCTAGGGTGCTTTCCGCAGGCATTGAGGAGCCATTGCAGCTTCCAAAGCTAGGAAGAAACAAGTTCAGATGGGGACTCTAGAAACATGTCCTCCTCTCCAGTCCTCCATCTGGGGCATGGGGAGGCAGCCAGTCCCAGGTCCCAGGAGCATCAGGCTGGGAACATGGAACCCGGTCCCAAGGCCTCCCCACCACTGTCCCCCAGCTCCTCTGTCCCCTTAGGAGGAATGGGGCTCTAGGAGAGAGAGGCTAGTGACTAGAATTCCTGAGCCAGCCTGTCCAGAAGAATGCCCCAGCCCCAACACCGCCTCAGCTGACTGCAGCCCTCAGCCAGCTCCTGGCCTGGCTCTGGTCCCTCCACTCAGCTGACCCTGGTTTCCTCAGTCTGCCTCAGAGTGTGACCTGGCTGCCTCCAAAGACAGGCCTGACCTTTCCAAGGTTTATTGCTGATCATTTTGGGAAACAGATGCAAAGGCCATTCTGGAAGTTTCCAGAAGCTTCAGGTATTTACCATCTTGCTTCCTGGTAATAATGATAACAACTTGCCATTTTATAGAGCATATCTGATATGCCCAACACTATGATAAGCACTTAACATGTATAATCGGTATGCCATGAACTCAGGATACCAGTATGGTTACATTTTCATTTTTCTCTTGATTGCGCAAGTCCTGAGTCCCTCATGTACCCTTTTTGGCAGAAAATTGAAGGGGAGCAGAATATGACACCCCAAAATATGTCTCTTTGGCATAAGGATTATCTTGAGCTGCTTACTTTTAAGAAACAGCAAACACAGAGCAGCTGTGGAACCCAAGTAGCAGTTACCTTCTTGCAAGGGATATTTACATATGTAAAGGAAATCTCCAGTTGTAAGTTTCTCCCTCTCTGTACCAGGAAGAGGAGGCTGGCTCTAAATCATAAGAAACTCACCAACGGAGAAGGCAGTGACTTATATTTGCATAACAACCTGTGGAACTTATTTACTGTGCTTTCATAGTAACCTCCCACAAGCCGCCTCCTCCCCCTGCCCTCCCAACATCTTTCTTTTGTCTTTTACTGAAGATGGTATTTAAGGTGGTGGCTTGGGCCATTTCGGAGAGTTTTACTCAGTTTTTCCGGTTAACTCCCATGTATACAGGAGGTATACATACGTGTTATTCAACTTGTTTTTCTCTTGTTAATTTTTTATTACTGGGGAGAGGGGGAGGTCTCAGATAAAAACCCAGAAGAGCAGAGGGAAAATTATTTTTCCTCCCGACAGAATCCTACCTCTCCCTCTTGGAGCCCACTCACTCACAAACTGTCCAGAACCTCAGCGCTTCCTTGGTCCCAAGAGTGTGTTCTCCGGAAAGTCTGAGCTGGCCTCTTTGGCCCTTGCCTCTCGGTCCACACGGTGGCGCTGTGGAACGCAGCCCCCGGCACAGCCCTGGGATGCTTAGGCACCATCCTCTTGCACCGGATGCTGCGGAGCACACATCCGTCTTTTAATCACCTTCATGAGCACAGTCATCCTCCCCCAAGAGCAGTAGCAAGCGAGGGGTGCTGGGTCCTGTGGCTCCCAGTCAGCTGCCCAGTCTGGGGAACCCCATAAACTCCTTCAGGCTCTCTCTGTCCCTGTGACACAACTTTCCATGCCTTTCGTGATGGTAAATTTTAGTCAATCCTCAACCTGAAATTGGGGAGCAGGTTGAGGGGGGTTGGGGCTCAAGCCCATTCCTCCCCAAGGCACTGAGCTTTGGATCAAAATACTTCCGCTCCTCCCCTGCCACCAGCTCTGCGATCCCAGGGGCCTTGAGAAGGGGTAGCCTTGTCAGGAGCGGAAGGTCCCATTTTGCTCTCCTGCCAGGTGATCGGTGCCCGGTGCCCCCTGGGCCTTATTTGCATAACTAAAGGAGAGCACTCAAAGAGCCCTCCCCTTAACTGGGAAAGCCTGCTCCAAGGTGACTGGGCAAGTCTGCCCACCTAAGGTGAGAGGCAGGGAGGGACGCTTCTGGAACCCCATTATACACCACAGTCAAGAGAAGAAACGGAGGCTCCCAAGAGAAGGGTCCCACAGCTATTGTGTGACAGGACACAACTTGACCTGTCGTCTGTGCTCCTAACCCCTCACGCTCCCCTCTCCCAAGGACTTCACCTTCTCTCTTTTTCCTTAGTGGTAACTTCCACAGGTATTTGTGGTTTTTTGCTGGAAAACCCAGAGAATAGAAAAATGTAATGTCCAATGAGTGATCGGAAATTTGGTATTTTAGTGTTTGGGGGAGCCCTGCCGGTATGAACAGAGTAAGAAAAAAAATTTTTTCAGATAGTTATTTAAAATATTGTGAAGAAAAACTTTACTGTCTCAATGAAACTCTGTGCATGGGTTAAAGGGCGGCCCGCAGCTGACCGATTCTGGCCCTGTTCCTTGTCTTTGAGCTATTTTGCACCTCTTTTTAAATTGCAGGCACTGATGGCTACCCAACGGCAGAGCTTCCATTGACTTCTCTCCCCCCTGTGGAAAAACCAGTGTTTTTTGTTTTTTTTTTTTAAAGATTTTATTTTTTCCTTTTTCTCCCCAAAGTCCCCCGGTACATAGTTGTGTATTCTTCGTTGTGGGTTCTTCTAGTTGTGGCACGTGGGACACTGCCTCAGCGTGGTCTGACGAGCAGTGCCATGTCCGCGCCCAGGATTCGAACCGACGAAACACTGGGCCGCCTGCAGCGGAGCGCGCGAACTTAACCACTCGGCCACGGGGCCAGCCCCTGGAAAAACCAGTTTTGCGTCCATTCGCAGTTCAATTCCTTCACGCCATATAAATCCGTGGTTTTTGACGTCTGCTTGCCCTCATATGAGTAAAATAAATCTTCACCTCGCACTCATTTTTATACCTGTACAAATTATGAATTTAACTTTTTCTGAAAATTACCTTTTAATAATTGCTTTTAT